TGGTACGGGCGCGAAAGTGAGGGTTGCGATCCGTTGCCGGACACGAAAAAAGACAAAAAAGGAAAAAAAAAAATAAAAATAATTTAAAAAATAAATAAATAATGTTTCTTACTTTTTTCCTCCAATGTTAAGAGTACATGCTCAATTTTGAAAATATGGGATAGTTTAAAGTCGCCAATATCCACAGAACATCGACCTATTAATAGTGTTTAATTTCCTTTTATTCTCCATTTTATACACTTGCCACATGTCTTATATAAAATGAAAAGCATACAAAATATACTGTTTTCTACTTATAACTCCATAAGCATTTTCATATATCCCTAGTCTTCAAAAGCATGATTAATGGCTATACTGTTGTCCACCATATACTTATAGCGTATTACAAATCAACTGTTTTACATGCAGGTAGCTTCTAATTTTCTTCTAATTTAATATAATAGTTTTGGGAGCCTCTTCATATAGAGGCCTGTATGATTAATTATGTCAAATTCTCAAAGTGGAATTAGCAGATAAAGTATAATCATTAAAGCCTTTTCCACATTCTCAAGTTGCTTTCTAGAACTGTTATGCCAATTTATTTATATTCCAACAACATTATAAGAGATAATGTCTAGTTCACCACACTCTTCCTAATACTGAGTTGAATAAACTTCGCTCAACTGAAAGGTCAAAATGGTTTCTCATTTTAAATTTTCATTTCTTTGATAACTAGCAACAAATAACTTGGTTCAGTCTGCTGACCACTTGTATTTTGTGTAAAGAGATTGCTTGTATTCTTTGCCCCATTTTTTCTACTGGGGAGCTGAACTGCATGGATTTCTTTTTGTCCCAAATTTAACACAGAACCCTGACCAAACACATTTAACTCATGCCAAAGTTTGTCAGCTTAAAATAAATAAAAGAGATCCACAAAGGTGAGTATGCGAGAGTGCGAACTATCTGTACTTTTTGTTCAATTTCTCTATAAGCCTAAAACTGCTTAAAGTCCATTACTTAGAAGAAAAAGAGGTCCCCCCAAATAGTCTTTGACTGAAAAAGAGACTCATTTATCTTTCTTGTCCCTTTGCTCACTCCATGTTGTCCTATTACAATATGGAAATCTGACCAAGTCTGCATATTAATTTAATGGCTTTAAAAGCAAAAACTTAGAAAGAAAGATGGGGGATTTTTTTTTTTTTTTAAATTTTTTTTTTCCTTTTTTGTCTTTTTTTTTTTTTACTGACCGGTAACGGGATTGCAACCCTCGGTGTCGCGCCCGTACCGGGGACCGGCAACGGGATCGCAACCCTCGGTGTTGTGCCCGCACCACGCTCAGCCAGTGAGCGGGAACCGGTCTCCACATGGGATCCGAACCCTCGGCGGGAGCGCCGCCGCGCTCCCAAGCAGCGCACTCTCCAGTGCGCCACCGGGCCAGCCCAAAAGATGGGGGATTTTAATGAAGAAATCCATTAGGGTTACCCTTCAAACTTTATGGGGATGGTAGTGACAAATTTAAGGGATTCCAGCATGAGCCTCAGAAACTACAAAATTGGATTTCCCCCCCAAATATAGCTTAATCTTGTTTATGTCAAAAATATATATAATTAAATATGTTTGGAAAGGAAATAACTGTCAATGAAAGTTACCTTTGGGAAACAGGGTGGTTCTCAATTCTGACTACATACCAGAATCACTTGCACAGACTTTTAAAATTATGGATACCCAGGACCCAAGGGCCCAATCCAGACTTAAATGAATCAGAAAGAGTGGCTATGAAAAGGCCCCACACATTCCTATTTAAAAAAAAAAAAGGTCCTCGGGAGATTCTTATGCACAGCCAGAGCTGAGAACTGCCAAGAACTGCTATCAAGACACATTCCAAAATAGACAAGATTAGTTAAATGGCTCAAATCCAGAACTCAGGATCCTAGAGTCAACAAATAAGAGACAAAAACTTAATTCAACATCTCATTTGTTACACATTTCCCTAATGGAAAGGTCACTACAAGTACCAGGAGGCATATCTCAGTCTCTTCCCATTACCAAATTAAGGGCCATAAGTTTTTCACAGTTAAGTTATTTGCCATCATCAACATTTCTAGCTGTAGTTCTGACAGGTGACATCTCCAAACCTGACAAACACAGCCAGGCTAGGTTCACTCCTGCCAGTTACCCTTAAATCCCAGTTAGGCACAGTGACCACAGTTTAATCTGAAGTTAAAATTTAAGAACTAGAATTTTACCTAATGCTTCAGTTAGCAACAGTTAGTGTCAAACATAGTACCAGCGTTAATTACAAAGTGAAGTTTCAGATCTTATACAAATTTTGCTCTGCCCTCAACCCATGGAATTAGTTTATAATAAGATTTCAAATAAATTGAAAATTCAGGGGACACAGCTAACTCTTCACCAGTGAAAAATAACCTGCCACATTTTCCTGCTTTGCTTCCCTAACCCTATTCCTCATCACCTAGTAAGAATTAATGAAGTCTTATAAGGATAGGTACATAAAGAAAACACATATTCCCCAAACCTCATTACCCAAGACTGTTTCGGATGACCCTGGTTTCAACCCTGACTGTTGCTTTCAAGACAGGCACCTCATGGTTTGCAAAGATTTAGGTAAAGCCAGATTCTACACTGCAAGAGCATAAGAAAGTACGTTGGCAGTCAGCAAAAGGGCTGTTTTCATTTCTTCACTTATTACCACACTGGCAAGGAAAACAATTTCATAATGCTTACAAGAACTGCTCTCTCATGGATAGTGAACTGCTCATTTCTAAAACAAATTACAACTGTAATTACACAAGGACTCATGTTTTAGTTGCTAAAGTCAACTCTCTTCTCTTGTCTTCAACCTACTAAGGGTATGAAATCAGACATCTTAAAGTGAGAAAGTGTCTCTTATCTCTAGGCCCAGGCAATAGGCAGCTCAAGATTGAAGGTACTATCAGGCCTGGGACCTGGAGATAAAATTCAGAGCACTATTTTTGAGGTGTTTCATGGACAAACTGCCAGAATATATATGTGAATAACTAAGGGGTAGAATTCATCCTCTTTTTTTTTTCTTTTGGGTAGCCGGCCTGTATGGGGATCTGAACCCATGACCCCATCTGATAGCATTATGTACTTTATATTTTGGAAAACAGACAAAAATGTCAAGTTCCTATGAGAAACATATTCCATATTTTAAATCTCTTTTGGGTAGCCGGCCTGTATGGGGATCTGAACCCATGACCCCATCTGATAGCATAATGTACTTTAGATTTTGGAAAACAGACAAAAATGTCAAGTTCCTATGAGAAACATATTCCATATTTTAAATCTCAGAATGGTGGTTCTCAATTCTGACTACATACCAGAATCACTTGCACAGACTTTTAAAATTATGGATACCCAGGACCCAAGGGCCCAATCCAGACTTAAATGAATCAGAAAGAGTGGCTATGAAAAGGCCCCACACATTCCTATTTAAAAAAAAAAAAGGTCCTCGGGAGATTCTTATGCACAGCCAGAGCTGAGAACTGCCAAGAACTGCTATCAAGACACATTCCAAAATAGACAAGATTAGTTAAATGGCTCAAATCCAGAACTCAGGATCCTAGAGTCAACAAATAAGAGACAAAAACTTAATTCAACATCTCATTTGTTACACATTTCCCTAATGGAAAGGTCACTACAAGTACCAGGAGGCATATCTCAGTCTCTTCCCATTACCAAATTAAGGGCCATAAGTCTTTCACAGTTAAGTTATTTGCCATCATCAACATTTCTAGCTGTAGTTCTGACAGGTGACACAGCCTTGAGATCAGAATACCAGCCAGAAAGTTTCTGCTGCTGATTCATGCTGTAATCACAAGCAAGTTGCTTACCCATCGTCCAGAGTGGTTGACAAGCACTTCCAGAGAGGCAACATATGGCCTCACTACAGAATCTACTGACAACAAATTGAATCCAGCTGAAATTAGTAATACTGAATGAAAGGAGAGAGGTGATATCAGGAATGATGCACATGCCAGTAAGTTACCTTCTTGCTAAGTAAGTTTATTATACAAAGTATACTTCTAAATACCACCTAGGACTTCATAAGAATTTACTTGGAGAAATCACTCTAACACCTCTAAGCCTCGGTTTTCTTGTCTGTAGAATACGGCTAACGCTATACCGTCCCTTCCTCACAGAATCATGCAGATTAAAAGAGAAAAGGTCTGTAAAATGCCTACTATATTGGCTGGCACATAGCTGCTATGGTTTGAAAGCCTTATTATCAATAAACCCAAATCATTCCTGTCAAGAGCACCCACTAGACTTCCAACAAATTCATATAAACCAAGGACTCCAGCCAACAGGCCCTGAAATTCTTTTAACTTCTCTGAGTGGTTTTACTGAAGGTTTCAAATCACCTCAATTTTCAAAGCCATTAAAACCTCCAGGTCCATTTAGAGGCATCTTCAAGGCAGTACCACTAACCCGGCTTCTGGTACCGGAATAACAGAAGTGTCAGAACAGTGCTTCATACCACCAACCTCAAAATAACTGCTTTATAATACCTGACCTTCCTTTAACCCCCAAAGCAATACCATCCACCCAGAAGGATGGGGTAAGAGCCTGGTTCTTGGCCAGAGTCAACTGTTTGTCCGTACCTACCCCACCCCCTCCCCCACCTCTTTCCTCTGGGCTATATTCATGGGATATTCACTGTTCAACATTCTTAGAATGGCACCTTAGCCCTGCTGGAATGCAGCTATAGGAATATACCCAAGAAAAGGAATGTTATGTGAATGTCTGAAGCAATTAGCCAGAGCAAAGAAACTGTGATATGCCACCCTGGCAGGAAAGATTAAGAAAATCCCTGGAAGGGCTGGCCAGTTAGCTCAGTTAGTTAGAGCACAGCCTTATAACACCAAGGTTAAGAGTTTGGATCCCTGTACCAACCAGACACCCAACAACAACAACAAAAAATCCAGTAGCCAAATTTACTTATTTCCTGTGTACAAATAAAGGGCAAACTGAATTAAGCCAGACACAGGAACATAGACTCAAATATACCAGTCACGTAGCCAGGAAACAAACAACCATTTATGACTTACACAGTTTAGAGACTAGAAACCAGCTTTTTTCTCATATGAGGTAGGAATGGGAGAGGAAAAGAAGTTAAATACTTAAATATTGAAGAACTCCCGTTCTTTTTACCTTGGCAAAAGAAAGGCAAGCTATGTCTTTTCACCCTACTCTTCCTGTTCTTCCTTCAACTCATTACTCTAAAATTCAAGAGATCTTTTCAACAATTTCCAGCGAAATCAAGTATATCAAGTGTTGAGTCAGCTTTTGAAACACGGCAGAAACCTTTTTATGGAAATATGCAGAACCTTAATCTGCGTTTTTGCTAGAGCAACCATCTCAAAGTCACTGTATCAGAGGTCCTGAATATCTGTTGTAGGAGCACAGGTCTTAGCTGTAATGTTCTTAACGGAGCATCTGCTACCCTTCAGTTCAACTTAAAAAATTAGCCAACATCCAGAGCTTCCCAATCTTTTAAGCCCTACCTACTCTACCTTTTAATTTGTTCCCAAATGCAAGCAGTGGATTATGCTTGGTGAGGAAGTATGAATTTAGCTACAAGCCCATCCTTCCTTCCTAAGGGAATATACACAGCAGAAGCCAGAAGCAGGCACCGGCAAGGGCAAACATGGTTAAGTTTTCTAACAAACACATTAAACAAAAACTAATGCTACCTGAGGGTACACTTATGTATTTCATAAAACCTAACAAAAGGTCCTTTACATGAGTTTTCATTTCTTTACTCCAAAGTTTTCAATTAAAGTGAACAAGTGTTCTAGGTGCATTTTACAGTATTTTTTAAAAATCACTTTAAGAAGTCAGAATAACCCAGAAATTAACATTTATTCTATACAAGTCTGTTTGAAATGCTAATAGTGACAAATATTTGCTCTGGTCAAACTACAACAGAATTCTGTATCATCCTTTCGGGTAACCAGTTAGTTCCACTAATCAACATATTCAAAGTCAAGGATGCAGGAGTGAAATGCCATAAATACCTTGGTTCTTTGTTGTTCTGTCTGTGTTGTTGCAAGCTTTCACCTACTGCTAGGGAACAAACTTTAGGCAATTTTTATAGCTGACTCATGAACGTTTGTTAGCGGCTTAAAAAGGAGCCCCAGAAAAATTAGTTGAGAATTCAGGCAATTGGAAAACCAAATCCTCAACATTACATCCGGGAACACAGTGCAAAAGTAATTTATCAACTACCTTGAGAAATATTCAGACCACTCTAAACCTGTTCCAACACTGACCAAGAGGAATGGCTACCCTCTATCTTTAGAGGAATCTATGATAAAGCTGCACAAGTGCAGAACCCCAAAATTAGTCTACATACTACTTCCTGACGTGGCCTGAGAGTCCATTCTAATCCCTGCTTAGATATTTAAGGCATTCGTTTATTATGAGACAACTGGTCTCCACCTAAATTCCATAAGCAATCTCCAGAAGTCTTTACACACTAGGTAAACAAGTTTGCCATACCCAACAGCTAAACTCTGAACTCATGTCAGTAAGCCTTACAGTTTTTTAATCTTAAAGTTTTAAAGAAGATCTCCACATTTAGGGACTCTAAATGTTTCCCTCTCTAGCACACACCCCCACTCTCAACAAAAACACCTTCCTATTACTGCTAATATAATTGAAATACAAAAGAGAGCAGAGATTAGTACACAGGCTTTGAAGTAAAATGGAGAATGCTGGGCTCCAGACTGCCAATTTGTAACATCATACCCTCTCAGATTCTTTCTTTCAATATGAATAATTCTGTCTTGCTAGACAGGTTAGCGCATAGAGTAGTGATAATAGAAGTGAAAGTCTAGCCCAATACTTGGTGCATGATAAGCCCTCAATTAAGGGTAGCTATTATCATCATTTCTGTCATAATTTAATACTGAAAGACATGACTTCGGAAATGGCATAATCTTCCCTGCTAAAGGACATAACCTAACACACAAAAACAGACATAATGTGTATTTGGTGCATAACAGATGTCAGGTACACTTATAAATCTCTAGCTCATTTGTTTCTTAGGTTTATTTATTTAATTGTATTAGCTCCACCTTTATAGGTAAGGAAATTCAGACATTTAAGGCCTAGCAAGGGCCGGCCCGTGGCTCACTCAGGAGAATGTGGTGCTGATAACACCAAGGCCACGGGTTCGGATCCCATATAGGGATGTCCGGTTAGCTCACTGGGTGAGCATGGTGCTGACAACAAGTCAAGGGTTAAGATCCCCTTACCGGTCATCTTTAAAAAAAAAAAAAAATGAATACTAGCTCTAAAAACTATGATAATAGAGTAATTATGATAAAACAGGAGAGACTTATAAAAAGGGTTTGCTTTATTTTCCTTGTGTTCAGTGTGCAGAGATTAAACCAGGGCAAAATCCAATATTTGAATGATGTTCCAAGGAAGCTATTTCATGCTCTCTACTGTGCCCTCGTAAGGTTCATTTCAAATGTTATGGGTAGACATTTTGCTTTTGTTTTCTCATTGAAATTACACAGTTTTCTTCTTAAATCTAAAATGGAAAATTATATTTTTTCAAGTGTTCCCTAAGAATGGGAGTTGAACTCTATATGAAATATTTAAATGAGAGCTACCTTTAAAAAAACATTACCACAATGCCTCTAATTTGGATATAGAGGGTGGTAATAAATACTTATGACTTTAGAGCGCTTCAGGATGGAATAATGAAGTACAATATGAGCCCCGATGAAGATTTCAGAGAAGACGTTCTTCACATCTAATTTTCAGTTTATAAGCAGCTCACTAGCTACACCACGCTGAACAAAGCCATTCAAGGATAAATCCTCTTCAACAGAGGAATAGATCTGGGGCCAGGTTATTAAACATGTGATCTGAGTTTGAAAAATCTTCGGGCCCCACCCTCCCCTATTTAAACTTGAACACTATCCAATGCTAACCCAACATTAAAAGGTAGAACAACTTAGTGGTTTTAGGAGCGTGGACTGATGAGTCAGACAAACCAGGTCTTAAGGCCTGCTGTGAGGCACATACTAGCTTGGACGACCTTACCCTTTCCGAACCTGTTTCCTCATCTGCAAAATGGGGATAAGAATAGCATCTACTTCACCGAGTTGTTCTGAGTATTAATGCAAGGATCCGCGTAAACCACTCAGTAGAGTGCTCATTAACTTTACCGTAAAATAATGGGAGCCACGGAAAAGTGGAAGTAGGAACTATAATAGAAAGCGTTGCTCGTCTCTGGGTGACCCAGCGGACTACAGAGCAAGGATCTCTCCCAAGCCGAAGGGGCAGTCACCCCCTGCCCACTGCCGGAGGCCAGCCCTTACCGCTCTTAGGTTTAGACTCGCCGGCTGGCCCCGCCGACGCACAGCGGGGCGGCTGTTGCCCTTTGCTGCTGCCCGAAGAGGCGGATGAACTGGTGGAGCCGCTGTTCTTGTCCATGTCGGAGGCGGTGGCGGCGGCGTTGGGGGAGCTCTGCGGCATCAACGGGGGCCTCGGCGACGGCGGTCGGAGCGGAGCGGGCGCGGCGGGGACCCAGGCTCATGGCGTTCGGGGCCGGCGGGGGTCGGCGGCGACAGCGGTTCTCGGCCTTCATGGCGACATTTTTCCCTGTTTCCTTCCTCGGCTTCTCAAACTGGGAGGAGAAGCGACGGGCGGGGCTGTCGAGCCCAGCAGCGGCGGTGACCGAGAAAGAGGAAGAGGCCGGGGCTCGGGGTCCGGGCCGGGCCTGGCGGGGCGGAGGCTACGGGGGACAGGGAGGCGAGGGAGAGTGCGCGAGCCCCGCCGGCCGGCCGGACACGCTCTCCCGCCGCGGGGCAGGGGAGAGGGTTGGCTCTCTTGGTGTCGGGGACTGGTGTCTCCGACACAACGACGGATACTCGCCTCTAGGCCGAGGCCGAGCTGCTCCGGAATGGCGACGAGTCGCCAAACAGCATCTGGAAGAACCCGGATGGAGTATATATATAGTGGAGGGGGGCGAGAGTGACGCACTCTGGGGAATGTAGTTTCGCCCGCATCCGGGTCCTGTGATTACCTCCCTTTCGCCTACCCCGCCCCCGATGCATGGGTAGTGAGACTTGTAGTTCCCACCAAGTCCAGGTTTTTGTCTTAGCGCACTAATAATATATGTAATAATTATGTATACTAATAATGATGCAGCCAAACACCGGAATACCTGTGGAATTCCTTTATGGACTCGTTGCTTGATTTTTGGTTCTTATTCTAGTATTAATACCAATTGACTTGTGGCTCATTCTGTCTTGTGTTAGTAATAATTATAATAGCGTTAATAATGACAATACCTTCACTTAATATCACTTTACTGCACTTCTTCATACAATACTTTATCTTGTTATTAATAAGTCATTTATTGACATAAACCGTTGTTAATATTTAATTTTCTTGTAATAATCATTTAGTGCTTATCATTAGCAGTCACTGTGCTGTGTCAAAAGACAAAATTACAACAAATTTCATTTAAATATATTTTTGCGGGGACGGGGGCAGCTGGCTGGTACAGGGATCTGAACCCTTGACCATGCTCTAATCAAGTGAGCTAATAAATATCTTAATTGGCTTTTATTTGCAATTCTAGAATTTGGCAACACCTCATTCCACAAAATAGAATGAGTGTTCCAATGAGCTAAGCAGGAGTTTGGTTTTATACCAGACTCTCTCTCTCTCATCGTTTCAAAATTACTTTTGTTGTAATGGACTTCTTTATTACGCTGACTAAAACTGGCTAGTTTGGTTCTCTCTCTCTCTCTTTTCTAGTTTAGGCTTACTATCAGCATGAGTAAGTCCATTTTGGCTTGGTCTGTCCAAACAAATGGTCTTCTATAAATTGTATTTAACAGCTGTTAACATGTATTATCACATTTAATCCTCACAATAACTAAATTTTAATTAATTAATTTATTTTTTATTTTTATTTATTATTTTTGGTGGCTGGCTGGTACAATAACTAAATTTTGAAGATGAGGAAATGGGCTTAAAAAGTTTAGAAAACTTACCCATGATTATATAGCTAGTAAGTGATGTTCTCAACTACCTGTGAGACAAGCAGTTCCCCATTTTACAGATGTGAACACTGAGACTTAAAAATCACATATGTACTTTGGAAATCATATCACATCCATCTATACTTTGAAAAATTATAAACGATTCCCTTCCAACCATAGTAGTTTGAGATTCAAAGAATGACATATACACACTGTTAAAGAGATGAACAAATAATGCTTCTCAATCAGAATAACTTTAGTTAGAATCCTGTTAGGTCCAGGCACTGTGCTGGGCACAAGGAATGCCAAATACATTAAGACTGAGGCCTTTCAAAAACTCAGAATGGGGGGCCGGCCCGTGGCTCACTCGGGAGAGTGCGGTGCTGATAACACCAAGGCCCCGGGTTCGGATCCCATATACGAATGGCCGGTTCGCTCACTGGCTGACTGTGGTGCTGACAACACCAAGTCAAGGGTTGAGATCCCCTTACCGGTCATCTTTAAAAAAAAAAAAAAAAAAAAAAAAAACTCAGAATGGTATTTACAGGGCTGCAAATTACACCAATTGGAGCTATAGAAGTAATTTTGTGTCTGCTGGTGTACAGACCAGTTTTAGGACCGGTAATCCAACAGGGACTTACCAGAATGGTTATGACAGTACTCAGAAATATGGAAGTAATGTTCCAAATACGCACAATGGTATGAACCAACAGGCATATACATACCCTGCTACTGCAGCTGCACCTATGATTGGTTATCCTATGCCAACAGGATATTCTCAATAAGACTTTGGAAGTATATGTAAATGTCTATTTTTCATAATTCCTCTTTATATTGTGTGTTATCAGACAAGATAGTTATTTAAGACACACAGAAAATGCAGAAATGACTGTTGTGCAGCAGTAATTATGGTGCACTTTTTCACTATTTAATTTGGATATTTCTCTACATTCCTGAAACAATGTTTAGAGGTTTTTTGTACTAGAAAATGCAGGCAGTATTTTCACAAAAACTGCATGTACAGTGATTTGAAATACAATAAATGAAGGCAAAGTGTGTCTTTCCAATAAAAAATATCTGAAGACTGGGGAAAAAAAAAGAAAGATTGAGGCCTTTAATATACTCATAGTGTCCTAAGTTGTACAGTTAAGCAAATAAGAAACTACAATGCAAGAACATGGTAAGGGCTATAATATAGTTAACTACAAAATGCTGACCAGAGCAGAGCAGAGACTCCAAGAGAGAAATTCAAATAGCTAAGAGGGGTAAAGGAGGACTTTCTAGAAGTACTGTCACTTGAGTGGAACACAGAAAGATCAGTGGAATTTTAGCAGTCATTTAAGAATGAATGAATGAATGAATGAATGAATGTCTAATAGGGCCCTTCTTGGTTCCTTATTAATCATCACATGGCTGTCACTTGAGTGGAACACAGAAAGATCAGTGGAATTTTAGCAGTCATTTAAGAATGAATGAATGAATGAATGTCTAATAGGGCCCTTCTTGGTTCCTTATTAATCATCACATGGTATACAAGATATTAATAAGTGTATATAAATAGATCACTTTCTTGTAAGTAAGTTTAAACTGGGATAAAGGAAGTTAGATACTAAACTCATATTTTTAAGTTGCCTTAAAATGCTTCCAACAGTCCTTGTCCTGCTTTACCTTTCATAGCTTTTTCCCCCACTAATCATATTGAAATAGAGAACAGCTACATATTGTTGGTCTGGAAACCGAATTTGATAACCAGAAGGAGCAGCCCCCAAAGCTGAGGTCCATTCTTATATATAACTAGATGCGGAAGATATATTAAGATTCCTTGATGAAACTTTATTTCCTTTAACAAAGACACAAGATCTCTAAGTATATAGATAAATCATTTCTTCCTCCTATCGTTCTTAAAAATAAAAGAGAGAGAAGAAGGAATCCCAATGCAGTACTTCCCAAATGAGAGCAGTAGGTGTCCATCTGTCAGGCTATGTTAAACCAGGAAAAGACTTTTCATTTAAAAATAGTTTTGGATCCTTGGCATTTTCTCCCTGTGAAATATTTACAGGAAACATACAATTAAAAAGGGAATTAAAGCAGAAAAATGCAGAAATCAAAGCAAAACAACAACCTCCATCCACTTTTTTGTACAAGATGGTCTACATTCCTCTTTCCATAAAAAAAGACTGAAAATCTGGGGTTGAAGTAAAACATCCATAATATGCCAGTTGAAGTTAGAAATATAGTTTTGTGTCAGCAGGAGACAAATGTAAGTGTGTTTAGTTCTGGCTTGCTAAATGGATACCAGAGCTTTCGTTCCTATTTATGAATTTCCTAGGTTCATAAAGTGGACATACCAGAGAATAGTCTTTCCTATGTTTATTTTTCAGAGTAGTCTAGCATATGTTTCTTAAGAATGGGTCTGCAAATCTCTTGCACGGAAATCACCAGAGAAGCTTGTTCAAATAAAGATTCAAGGGACACATACCAGATTTGCTGATTTAAAATCTCTGGTAGTTGGGGCCCAGGAATCTGCTTTTTAAATTTTTTTATTTATTTAATTTTGTAAAGTTTATTGAGAGCCAAATGGGAGGATCGCCCCGTGGAAACACCATCCAACAGAGTCAGCGAAATGCTCTGAAGTCTACTGCAAATGGGAATCTGCATTTTAAAGATCAAACCAAATGATTCCTATGCATACCGAAGTTTGCAGGAATAGTCAGGAATAGTCAGGAATCTTAGCCTTTTTACCATACTATGCCTCAGTTTCCCCCTCCTCACCAGAAGAGTTACTCGATATTTTGCGAGTTAGTACTCTTACTACTGGTTGGCAACATTCAGAGACACGGCCTCTGAGAGGTGATTGGGAGATTCCGCATGGCTCCTTAATGTCAGGTTTCAGGGCGCGTTTGGTTAATGATGTCTTCGGCCGGCCTCCGTCGTCTGTCTGGTGATGCAACGCGACGTGTTCTCTTGTCCCTGTTAAGAGACTATCAAGATGGCGGCCTCCAGGAGCTGCTCTCTGTGGAGCTGCTGTGGCCGCAGGTGGTCGCGGTCGATGCGGGGCTGCTGCCTCTCAGAGCTACATAGCTCTTGGTCCGGGGACCCTCTGGGTGCACGACTCTTGTCCCAAGAGAAGCGGGCAACAGAAACGCATTTCGGGTTTGAGACTGTGTCGGAGGAAGAGAAGGGAGGCAAAGGTGAAAGGGGAGACTGGGCGGATGGAGGGATCTGACAGTCCGCGATCTAGTTTCTTCTGCCCAACTGAGAATTGATGTAACATCCTGTTGGCTCCGATGGTGTAGTCTGGGCAGTCCTGACCTCCAAGGAGTCCCCTCTGCCTGACCTGGCAAAACTTAGACACCCCTTCTTTTTTAAATGGGGTAATTATTAAGTCTCATCAATTGAGCGTTAATGACGTACCAGGCACCTTGAAGACTTTATTTCCAATTCTCGTTTTAATTTTACAGTGGTGGGTATTGTTATCCCTATGTGACACATGAGGAAATTGAGACTTAAAGGTTAAGTACTTGCCCAATTTACCAATCTAACAGCTAGTAAGTGGTGGAACCAGTATTCCCAACCAGTTTAGTCTGACTCCAGAGCCCACGTTCTTAACCTC